TGTAAATGGTTATTTTGAGGAGCTTGACGAATCAGTCTATTGAGATGGCATTAATAGACTGGAACACCGCTATGAGAAATGTATCAGCCTTGGAGGAGATTATGTTGAGAAATAAAAAAAAAAAATTTTTAAAAACCTTGTTTTTCTTGGTCAGGCCGGAAACTTATCAATCCACCCTCGTAGATCTAACTATTGGCATTACAATAAAAAGAGTAAGTTTACGTTCTATCTACAAGCCATTAACAACAAATAAGTACGTTACAGCAAAATAAAATCCAATGAAAATAAAAATTATTTTTTGTTCCTTGTTGATACAATATTATTTCGTGGCTCGTTAAATATGATTTTGTATACACAGATAAGGCAAAAGGTTCACCGAGCATATTAATAAACCATGTTTATCTGAAAATATCGCCTACTTCTCGAAAAACTGTTCTAAACTAGACGAATTCTCAAAATTTTTTGGTCCAAACGCCTCTCAAATTCTTTAAGTTTTATATATTGGACCTACATTAGGTACTTTATTATTTATATGAAAGGTTGGATGAAAGTATTTGTGCTAATTTTCCTATATCTGTCAAATGATAATGCTGCCCTTTTATGATCGCATGTAATAGAATAACGTTTGTAATCAGTAGTGAATAATTAACTTTTGGTAAGCAGCATTAGCAGTAAACGAAAAAGCTGACTTTTTAAGTAAAATTTAAGAGTGATTTTGCTGACTTTACACCGCAACACAAGTACTTATTATTTGATTATCGCTTAATTGTTGCTACTTAAAATTAAAATTAGTTTACGTAAATGAAATTTGTATAGACTCTGATGATAGAATGGCGTATTTTACATACGCACAACCACTACTTCTTCGTTCTGACTCATTCGTTTTTGTCACGAACAATTTTATCATTTCTAATTTTGTATCAGCAAAACGTGTATTGAAATTTGCTCGTAATTCGATCAAAGTACATTCCACTTAAAAGTTAAAATGTAGGTACACATATCAGTCTTTATCTACGAAAATTTTGTCTACTTCATGATTTATTATTATTTAATCGTAAGTAGTTACTGGTAGGTAGGTACGTGAAAAATTAATTTCATTTTTTGATGGAAGGAAAATTTTTCGACAAGCTGTCTAGAGATAAGTTAGTGAAAAAACATATGGGTGCAAGTTTAAACTATTTGAATACAAAAGATGCTCAAGTGATTGTAATTTTTATGAACTGTAGAATAAGATGTTAAAAACAGATAGAATAATCAGAATTAAATAAAAAAGGATAGCAGTAACAAACTTACTTGCGAAACTTTATGAATTAAACAATCTGTTTCCTAACAAGATAATCACTGTAGTTCCTGCATCAACATGCATGTTTACGTAATTAGCTATCATTGCCTATGAATTGTTTGAGTTAATTGTTTATGATAATTGCATTAAAGATTATAGAATGTTCGTTTGTAAGAAATAACGTTCCATGTAATTCCAGGGTATTAGACTAGGATATGTACGAAAAATATGACACGGTCATATTCTATTTTGAAGGCGCTAAGAATTAGAAATGATATTAACAAAAGATAACGAAATACAGCACAATTAGTGACATAAATCTTCAAATTTTTGAAATTGTTTTTTATATAATTTTATCAATAGTTTTATTGACACCTATTAACTTATAATTAAAATTTCACGATTTTAACAGTAAGAAGTTATTAAATTATAAGTAGGTACTTCTGTTGTTGTGGTTGTTCGGGCTTTCTGGGCGTCGTCTTCCAAGGTTTATCAGCCAGAAAGCCCGAACAATCACGACAACATTAACGATGGCCGCGAAAGCCTGAACCATATATAAGTATTGTACTTCTGTTCATTATTTAAAGCCGTAATATTAATGTTAAAGTCTTTATGTGCGACTGCTAATCTTAGGTCTTTAGTAAATAATACTCAAATTCCTATTTGGTGAGGTTCAACAAAATTTTTAAAAAGTATAAAGTTAAGGCGTGTTTATGCAGACGCAGTTAAATGTCATACCTTGGGGGAGTTATTGTATTTTAATTAACGTGGTGATTCCTATACCTTAGGGTTTATCCACCAGTTAGTTACACTCAATCAGAGCGCGGTGGCCGAAGTAGCCGTTTTCAGTTTCTCCTAGGAGGTGGTAAGAAGGGCTTCTAAAACCCTCTGAAGCGGGTAAGACCTTGCTAACCTCTACCAGGTTTAACAGGCTTGGTACCCAAGTGATTATATGCTGGGGATCGCCTCAGATAAATCATGTCGGGTTCAAGGGATCGCCACTTTCCCCTCACCCTTGACAGTCGTGCCAGCCGGGCTATCCCGACCTCCTTTAATGGCACCTCTTCCTACGTTTAGTGGGATGAATTGTGGGCAATTGGTCTATCGTGTGTGAATACCACTGGGAATTCTCGTACCGACTACGACTCTGTCCGGTCCCCTATACATCCATCCCCAAACATTAACGCTCAGTGCTTCACGAACAATATTTCTTAGTAGAATTGTACTTATTGAAAGAGACTGATGTTTTTTAATATTTATGTCATCATCATCATAAAATCGTCAGTCCTAAGAATGGTTGGACACACACCTCCGCTCTTTCGTATCCTGAGCTAAACTTCGCATTTTCTTACAACTAGAACATCCCACATCCTTAACTATTTGCGAACAGTAATCTAATTTAGGTCTACCTCTACTCCTCTTAACTCCTGTTTCTGCCTCTAATATGTCTGTGACTAGACCTTCATGCGTTCATGCCTGAGAAGGTGTCCTAACCACCTATCTCGCCTCTTTTTTATTGACTTCCATAGAGTCCTCTGTACTCCTATCCTTCCTAATACCTTTGATATTTATGTACCGAACGAAAAAATTAGTTTAGTTTAATTTACGTACAAGCACGCGTTAGAAAGGATGTAAACATTTTTTGAAAGAGGCTCGTTTCTGTTGAGAACTTTCTGAGCTTTGAACTGTAGATCGGGTATTAGGACAAGATGAATGTGTTATTTTTTCTAATGTAATGAAATATAAAAACTATTTTCACTATTCCATGAATCAAAAACACTGTTCATTGTTTAAGGCTATAATAAAATAATAATAATAATAATATTAAGGAATGGGATAATACAGCTGGTTAATTTGCCTAATCATCGCAAGTAATTATAAAAGTAATATTCAGTTGGTGAAAACTACTTTGCAATTTGTGGTACATAATTTATTGGATTACGAAAAATACTTTTGCGGTCTTTATGTTAATCCTATCTGTTTGCGCAAGTTTCAAGATATCCAAATCAAATGGAAAAAACGGAATCATTTTGAATTAAATAAGGGACCATCCATAAATTACGTCACACAAATTTTATGATTTGTTAACCCCCATCCTTGTTGCAGGTGGTCACGTTTGTGACACCTCCTCACCCCGCGGTGTGACCTCACATATTTTTCAATTTTATATTTAGAAATAATTAAATTAAAGCAAAAATTTTATGAGAAAATTGATAGAGTTGGCCTCTACTATATGAAAGTTGATCATAATGATATTTGGTAAAAAAACAC